AAGCAAAAGAAGCTTTGGCAAGTGTAGCGTGTTTTCATTTCCTATTCATCAAATAAATTATTATCTCGTGTATTAACAGCATTACCCGGGATAATACATGATGTATGAGGGTTCCCAGTCCCCCACAGCATTTTTAAAGATCTCATAACAGGCCTCGCTGCGTATTAACCGCTCAAGAAGGCAGAGGTGTCATCAAGGCGCCACCTTCACTTGTGTCGCTGGGCTAAAAACAAAAAGGCTACCTTGTGTTCATAATAATAGTAATTATCAGTCTCTGGTAATTGGGCTCTAACAAAAATATTGCTTAAATTGTTAGGATGGTGGTAAGCTACTACTGGAAGATTTTCAAAAACATTTCTATATCGTTCTGCAGGGTAGATAATGTGGGAATGTTTGTAAACAAATACGCGACATTAGACAATGTAGGGTTATCATCATCATTACTATCATTATCTTTACATTATTTAATGTAATGAAATTGGGAGCTCCGCTTTTAGGCTTGGCTAAATCTATATATTATGTTCCCAGGACACAAGCTCAAACCAGTCGTCGAACATTTTCAAATCCTTAAATTAGTTCCCCAAAGAAATCGTAAGAACTGAACTCACCAAAACTTACAGGGATCTATTGAGACTTGATTGTTATTTCGAAAGGCGCCAGGTAACCAAAAGAAACCACGCAAGCGAAGAAAACCTTTATAACATGAAAGCCGAGATCAGTGCGTTATAGCCTGCAGTGTGGGCGTATGTTTTCGGGCAAGCAAGTGCTCAGTTTTTCACGCCGCCGTCGGCGTTTTTTTTATTTTATTTTTAAGTATAAGAGGCAGATTCGGCAAGGAGAAATGAGAGGGGGTAGGGGGAGAAAAACGTCATGCAGCAAAAACCAAAGGGATTACTACCTATGTATGTACCAACTATTTGCTCCCATCACTTATAATTGATGATTCTTGCAAATTGCAAATTGGCCAGCGGTCGATTTTTTTATATAACAATAAATGAATAAAATAAAATGAAAGCAATAAAGGCAGTTTGTGAATGCCGTCAAAGAGGAGGCATTTACTGTCTCGTTTGGCAAAACGTTCCATCCTCTTATTGTTCTTGGGAAGTAGGAGAATTTATGATAATCGGTGAGAGCGAATGGGACCTCATAAGCTTGGAAGCTTGGTTATTGGCATGACGGCTAAGTCGACCTGGTATTCTGAAAACCGTTCCCCCGATTCGAGATTCGAATTAATATGCTTAAGCTCGGAGAATTCGTTTAGACAAGACTAAACCATTTTTTAGAATTGCTTTTGCGAACAAACAACAAAGCAAATAATTTTTTGGAATATCCTTTGATAACTGATCCCGGGGGGCGGGGTACTCCCTATAATGGCCTATACAGGGAGGCTCCTCCCGAAAAGGGTACCATTTTCGGGCTTCAGGTATATGCAAGGGTAGGGATTTTAATCGTTGAAGTACATGAGAGGGTAGGGAAATCTGTCATCTGGGTCTGTGCAAAGGGCCCAAAGGGCCGAACAGACGAATTTTATGACTTTATAGAGTCTTCCACTGTTCTGTTCGGTGAGAGCGAATGGGACCTCATAAGCTTGGAAGCTTGGTTATTGGCATGACGGCTAACTCGACCCAGCGGCTTCAGATATTTCCCAGTGTCTATTCCAGTTCGGTCATTGTGGATTTTATAGAACATGACCAGTCTATCGTTTTTCCGTGTTCCATTACAATTCCTAGTAGCATTTCATTAACACTTGATGGGTAATTGCACCAGTCTAATGAGTCTTAGACATACCGAGCTGCACGTCTCTGTACCATTTCCAGTTTCATCACATTCTCTTTGGTATAGAGACCCCATGCTGCTGAAGAGTATTCGAGTAGTAGACGAACCAAGCTGTCGTAAGCCACAGATTTTAAATTAGATGAATTAATTCTCAGATTCCTTCTAAGGAAACCAAGTGATTGATTCGCCTTGTATGCAATGTTTTCAACATGACGATTCAATCTAAGGTCAGAGGTTAGAGTGACTCCCAGGTACTTTGCTGAGTCTACAGTTTTAAGAAGTTTACCATGCAGGGTGTAATAATGAATTATCGGGTTCTACTTACGAGTGACCCGTAGAACATGGCATTTATCAGTGTTAAATTTCATGAGCCATTTCTTCGTCCAGTGTTCTAATTTCTTTAAAAAATTCTGAAGAATCTCGGTGTCAGCCTGTGGCCGTATCAGAGAATCATCTGCAAAAAAGACGGTGAATCAGTGATCTAACTTTAAAAGAAGCCTTTAGTGGCCTCTGTTTGCTAAGTCATCAATAAACTCCACCAGCTGTGTTTCACAAGATTTACCTTCTCTGAAGCTAGGTTGTAGGCCATATGAATCATGATATGACTTGTCAGGATATGTTGCATTAGTTTAAAAGCTATACAAGTTAGCGATATCGGTCTATAGTTCAGTTTTGCATCAGATCTCTTTCCTTTCTTGAAGACTGGGGTAATGTTCGCAGTTTTCCAGTCTTCGGGAACTACACCAGAGTCACGTGATTTCTTAAATATTGCAGTTAGCATTGGGGCAATCACATTTACCATTTCTTTCAATACGAGGGGGCTGATTTGGTCTGGACCTGGCCCCTTATGGGCTTTGAGGGATTTGAGCAATTTGTGAATTTGTGCACGCCAGATTCCGTTATCTTAATGTCGGCCACGTCAGTGTAAGGTGAGGGCGGACTTAGGAGATCTGGCGTCGTTGGTGTTTCTCTTGTAAAGATTGCCTGGAAATTGTCATTCAACAAGGTTGCTATTTCCACTGGTTTGGTCACATCTCCACCTTTATCACAGAGGGACTTAATTCTAAAAGTGTCTGTTTTGCGATGTTTAATAAAGGTTAAAAAACGTTTCCTTCCAGTGTGACTATCTTGAACATCAGTTGGACTAATTATTGACTCAACATAGCTCCAGTAAGCTTTCCTCATTTCACGTTGTATTACCCTTTTTAGGGCTTTTAGCCCTGGGGGTCCTGGGGCGTTTAATCGCTCAACTGTTGTATTGATGTCATCTAATCCCATCTTTTGTTGCCGTTTTTTTCCTGATGGACAGATTATTCCTTTTACGTATCAATTTTCGAATTTGTGGAGTGACCCATGATAAATTATCTCTAAATTTTGTTCTTCCATGGGGGATTTGTTTTTTGACTGCCTTCCAAATGGGCTCCTTAAGTTTTATCCACATTTCACGGTGCTCTCCTTCAACCCCTCTCCCCCACTGGAAAACACCTACACAGGCCTTGCAATTGAATGCACGTTCGTTATGTCAAACACTAGTTGCTAGCTCTCGATGAAACGACCCTGGCAACGAGGTCTTCTGTGTACCGTAAATGACCTAATAGCTCACTACGGAAAAGAGTGATAGCTTGGGACCCAAACAAGGCGCGTGCGCATTTATTTTCGGGGAAGCGAATGTAAACAAACACGGCGGAAAGCGAAGTGGAATGTTACAGCGGGGTTAAAACAACTCAAAATAGCAAAGTGGAAGGTGGAATTGAAAGAAAAAAACATGAAAACGTGAAGCTAAAGAAAGAAGATGTGAAGATGTGCCTAGGGCAATTTTACCTTGATAGAAAAAAAAAAAAAAGAATGCACCGTGAAACAGCTTCATGCATGTAGAGATGACTTCTTTGTCGGGGAGCCAAAACAACTGAATACGTCTTGCCTTTGGTATTCTATAAAATGCCAGACCAGGGGAGTTCCTGAAGTTATTTGTGCGGAAAGAAACACAAAATCTTACGTGTCTCGTCATATATTCAAGGTGGCTGCTCGACTTGTCCCCCCAAACAATCCCATAAGTGCGCGCGCACTTAGTTTGGGTCCCAGGCTATCACTGTTTTCCGAAGTGAGCTATAGACGCCCACTCCCAAATAAACGCCTCTTAGCTAACGAACGCCCCCTCTACGCCGTTTAAATTGTATTAGACGCCCCTCTCTAATAAACGCCCCCTATGAGAATTACTCCGAAATACAAGGAATTGGGAAAAGGAGCAAAATCATTAAATTCATTCAGTTTCTTGCTGGATTAACGAGACTTTGTGTATTTCATCTTGTTCAATGTTAAGTTCAAAGTAAGGATAGACTAACGACGGCAACATAATAGCAAGGATTCTGACATCAATGTTGGGGTTTGAAAGAGAGATATGGATCTCTAGACTTATCAATTGAAAGCGTTGATATCCCGCTACTTTGAAACTCTCTTGATTTTTTCGCCGAAAGCATATCTTGGACTTGTTGAGCTTGTTGACGTTATAAAAATAAAGGCCCCTCTCTCTTTTATTGTCTCCTATCTATTAAACACCTCCGCTTAGACCCCTAAAATTAAATGGACTCCCCGGGAGTTTATTAGGACATTTAGGGTAATCAAATATGACGTCATCAGTGAAGCCTACTTCGTACAAATAGTAACAATTGGATGAAAAGGGTCCTCAAACAAACCGGCAACAACAGTAGGACATAGGCCTATGCATTACGTGCACTTTTCTCAAGTTTGATTCGTGGCAGGCGGGCAAACTATCACAACATTTCTGTGTTGAAACAAGCAAGCTTTTTTTCGTTTATTTATTATATCTTTATTATTTTCTGGGAGCCTATTGTAGTAGGCAACTCGTGTTAATGATCATGTTTTCGTAGTGTCGCTAGCCTGTGATCCCTATTATCTTTATATGTGTGGAAATAGTTATCTATCTTCAACTGACAGACACACGATCCATTAGTAAAAGTAGCAAATAAAGATCATAAACAAAAGGACAGCATTTATTAAAGTGAAACCGCCTTTTTATTTTTGATTTTAATTATTTTTTTCAATCTAAATCAGTTTCACTTGACCAACAATTCTCATTACAAGAAGTGCGCACCCCATCCTAGCCCAAAATCGTTAGTTATGATTTGTAATATGTCAGTATTATTTAGTTTATTAAATGGCATTACAGCAAACTGCTCTACTCTATTTGACTTTTGGGACGCAAGTCACCTAATTTGCTTTTTGCAAAGGATAACTGGGGCGTAGCTCCAAGCCGTTGCCGGATCGAAATCGCAACGTGCGTCGTTCCACTTGCCTTTATCTGCTAAGCCATACATGTTTCCACACTTTTCAATCCCACCAGAATTGTCTGGCTGGCCGCTTAACCAAGCCGTGTAACCTTTTGCCACTGGAGTGTCATCAATCCAGTACAACTTGTTGTCCGCCTTGCGGACCAAACCAAGCCACACTCCCAATGAGGTGATGGTTTTCTGTTTTCTGAGCAAGGTGAGTGCGAAGTTATTCTCAGCAGCTGATTTTATTATAGCGAGGTCTCCTCCAAGCATCTGACAAGTTCGTCGAGCATCGCTCCATTTCATGGTTGGAATGTCGATGATGAGGTAACCGAAGTTGCCGAGGTAAACCCAACCATCTTGCGGACAAACTGAAAGTAAGAAAATTTGCCAGTTGATTTTAAAATAAGCCTCAAACATTAAGTCCCTCTAATAATAACCCTCGGACAATTAGTCGCTCTTTTAATTAACTGAAAGTTTGATTAAATTGAAAGATTATACCTTTAGCGCTTGGCGATTTCTGGTACAGGTAGTCAATTTTGTACTTCATCTCGGTTAACAGTTTTCGATCAGCTTTTCCGAGGTCCCAGTTATTGACGTTAAATGTTTGATCGATCGGTTGAGGCTTTTTGTGAACTGTAAGCGCCGGTGATTTTTTGAAATCGGAACTTTTAGGTTTGCTTTTAGCAAAACTGCGTGAAAGAAGGGTAAAAACAACGTTGGAGTCCTCTCGGATACAAAAAATATGTAATTTAACCTTTTCGTGTAAACCTCGAGAAATGAAAGTTTTCGTTGAGTAAGTCTGCTTGATAAATCATGACTGTCTCTAGGCTATTTATGGTCGTCACGGACTCTTAACAAGACCAAATTTCGCGTCGCAGCTTATCAAAACAATGATTGTGCTAAAAAAAAATTCAGTTAAAGATAGTCAATAGACATAATCCTCATATGGACAAAATGTGAAATGTATCAGGGCAGTAAAATTTAATATCTTGTGCTAAACGTCCTAGAAATTGCCACGATATGTTTAAGTCAATTTTAAAACTTGCGTCTGCTTTTTTTAACAATGCCCTTATATTAAAAAGACATTTAACACTTTTATTTACTAAAATGTGCGGGTCAAAGCCACCCTGGCCAGCGGGGTAGTTGGATTGTTATTGCATGTCATTCAAAGTTAAATACAGATTAACTACAAAGCAGTCATTCAGGAGCGGGGTGAATAGGCGAACGGATCGGCGGATTTTGAAAATATTTTTGCCCCGATTTCGGATTCAAAGCGAGATTTTAACGGATTTCCGGATCCTGCAATTGCAGCGGATTGCGGATTCATCTATTTTTTAGGCCCGGATTTTGGACTTTCCGTGTAATTAAAATATTTTTGCCCGGATTTTGGATTCAGGCAGATTCAGGGCGAAAATGGAAGGGCGGATTTGGTTAATAAATCATGACGGATCGGCGGATTTGCATACTCCTATTCACCCCCCAGCCCTTATTCAGTGGTGACCGCAAAATTTTTTTAAATTCATTGGCAACGAGCAAGCCGAGCGAAGACGGTCGGCTTGTTCGGCGGCCAGCTTAATGCCACGGAAAGTTTTGCAGCAGGCAGAAAAATTCTCGATCGTGCTGTGAAAAGTGTAATGTAATAGGGGGTAATTACATGAAACCGGGGGCTATTTTATCGGCCAAATTTGGACCGATGTTTGTAAAATATTTACAGAATTTATTGGCTACTTCTTCTGTGTTGGTAATGCTTTCACCATTTTCATCTAGTAGCGGGTATGTCAATTTCTTCTTTTTGTTTTGGCCTATTGCATTATTCAAAATCCTCCACGTCTGCTTGATGTTAGTCTTATTTAATTCAATTTTAGATTAGCGGTCATTCAGGGGCGACCGCTGATATATTTTTTTTAAAATTGACATAAAACTTACTCGATCGTTATGTATAATAAGAAACCCCATCCGTCGAGTCTTAAGAAATTTTACTTGCATTCTTTCCTGTTATTGGCTGTTTGTGTTAGGTACTACTGAAGAGTGCTAAATCGACGAGTCTTCCTATCGTGTGAACGAAGTTTTGATTAAAACGGCCCTTTCAACACTCTTAAAATACCTTTACCAGTATAAGGATAAATTTTCCTTTGCTTTCATACCATGACTTCAATTCGCGAAATCCTAGGCCGTTACAAAAAGTAACTTCTCAAGAATAGAAACACGGATAAACCTCGAGTTACCTCTAGATGTCGATTTGTTATGCAAAGAGTCGATCTTGTATTTGATCTCCATCAACATTTTACGGTCATCGTTCCCTAGGCCCCAGTTGTTGATCTGATTTTGGATGTTATTAACTTGTTTTGGTTGCTGATCACCACGAGGTGATTTCACGGTGAAGTTGGTAGGTGTTCCTTGAGACGAACCACCAAAACCAAGGATAACGGCAGCTGCAAAAACGATTAACAAATTACGAAACATGTTTGAGGGCTCGCCCGAGCTAATGAAGTGTCCCTTGCAAATGTGCGTGTCTTTTAAGGACTAGGAATTGTTGTAAATGCGATCTTTTATGGGAAAACAGCCAATCTAAATAGCGGAATGTTTGGGGAGATAAAGTAAAAAAAAAGAAGCTCGCTAATAGCATTAGACTGGTGTCAAAGAGTATGCCTGCGCTATTACGTTTAGATTATAGTTCAGAGTATGGAAAAACAAATAAGTCATTTTCCTGCCATTTTCTGTTCCAGGTCTAAATTAGGCAAAACAAGCAGTGCCTGCATGCTAGTACTGGTTACTTTGGCCTGATTTTCATTTGTGTAGCCTTCCCTCAGACACACAGATCAAACCGATAAATCGTAACCTGTAAATTGGCCGCTGTCTGAGGAATATCGTGTGTTAGAACCGGCCTTTATAACATGAAATTTTATTTAGGGGCTGACCAATTAACTTTAGAGAAGGAAGGGATGGACAATGTAGATGGGCAGTTGGGAGATTTTGTTGGGCAATCATTTGTTTTCCTATCCTACTACTCTGATCGAAGATAATTTCCCATTTTTTGGTGTACACTTAACACAGCTGTAAACGCGATATAAGGTTTTTTTTTTCATTCCATAACTGTGTGTAGATTATTTATTCTTTAAAATCACCGAGGCTCTCCCCCAAAAGTCATATGGTTCTCTCCTAAAGTTAAGGATTGATAAGTGAATTTCTTTGCAATAGTTTATTGTTTGAAGTAAATTATAAATTTGTTGACTGGATTTTCGCTTTTATCCTTCGGGCTAAATCTACATACTATATATTTTTGTTCGTACTTCGAGTTAACAACAAACAAGAGCCCTTCTTGGAACTGTCCAGCCCTCACAGAGGTGCACATTTCTCCGACAAAAGATTCTCCTTTGACAACTCCCATGTTAAACGCGTGGGGAGCTTCTTGCTTCATTGTTACGTAAATTTTCGATTTTGGTTTTACCTTCTGTAAGGTGTGTTAGGTGGAAAGCCAATATATTTAGTCTTCTGACAAAAGTATCAGTAAAAGGCGACGTACATGCCTGATGGGGTAACGGTTAACACCTGGTAATATAGTACCTCCGTGTAGGGAACAAGTCGACCTTTGGCCACGCCCTGGTTTCAACGAAAAATTACTGCTCAATTACCTTCAGCCTAGTACGCTGTTTCAATCCAGTATCATGTAGAATACTGTTGTTAAAGCTCGTTGTCAATTCTTTGCAAAAGAGGTAAAAAGAATACAATATGACCACTCTCGTATTATAAAGCTTCTTTAATAATCATCAAGATTACCCTTTGTCGGTCTTTAATGCACCGGTAATCCTAAAGGTCTTAGCGCTTAAAATTTATTCATTATTAGCAGTACTTTGAAGTCTCGAAGAAAGTTAATCGTAAACAAACAGTATCAATCATTTCCGTTTGAATGTTAAAATAAAAATGAACCTTGATTTGATCATCGCATTATTATTTCCGAGTATCATAGATCATTACGATTGTTAAAAGTCTTAAAGTGCCCTCTTCAGTTTCTGCGGTTGTTAATCACTGAACACGACAAATTTATTTCGTAATTAGATGATCCTTTTGTAGCATGGCTTCATGACAACGGGAAAATGTGTTTGTCTTTTAAGGAGTAATAATATGTTTATGCGACTCTTTATGGGAAAACAACAGCCAAATCCTTTGGAATGTGCGGGGACCTACCAAGAAAGCAAAAAAAATGATGTTGTTTAAGGCTCGTGCCAGTAAAGCAAGCCGATGTTTTTTCGTTGACCTTACGTCAAAACAAAAAGGGGAAGCTGTTGTGTTACTCACCAGCGAAAAGAGAAGATTGTAAAAGAGATCTAGACTCTGTCGGGGCAAAATGATAGGTTTCATTGTTTCAGAACTTACGGCTCTCCTTGGAAACCCTGGGAGCTTTTTCTATCTAACTATAAATTCAACTTAAAAAGAGTGAAATTTGGGACGACATGAAAAGAGAAATGATACACCTATGGTAATGTTACAGCACAGGCGTGCCAAGCTCAAGTTACGAGTGTGGAATCTAAATTTACTTTCTCACAAGGGAGTCGGTGTCGCTTTACAGGTGACTGTTGAGACGTTGTATGAGAAATAAAATACTGAGGTCCGCGAACGCTCAACATCATTATATTTTAACTTTTTTTCTATAAAATAAATAAAGGCAATCGATTAAAAGAAAGTTCAAGCTTCTCTGGCGATTATGGAATCCCGAAACATGCTTGAACACATCCTGCTAAAGCAAGGACGACGACGACGGGCAGTGTAAACATCGGTAAAAAAATGAATTTGCGTCCTTTCAAAGTTAATCGCGTCTATTTGGATCCGCTCAATATGTCAAATGCAGGCGATTTTTCATGGAGTTGAATTCTTAAGAATTTTATTCAGGTTCAAAAAGATGAAGGAAAATTCGTCGTCGTATGTCCAGGTCCTCCATAAAACGTCAAATTAGGAGGTTTCACGTGGTAGTCGTGCACTGGACGTCGAAGAAATGCACTAAAAAGCGTGATGCGCGTGCAGAGCTGTTGTTTTGATCATTAAACCTAATGTTTTTATGAAGTCGTCATTGTGGTCGTCGTCGTAGTTGCTTAAACTCCCTAATGAATGAAGTGTTACCCACTAATGTGCGGTCTACACCATACGGGATAGACATGAAAAGCTACTCGGCATAGTATAACACCTGTTCACACTTGCCAAAGAGTGTCATAGAAACCTATCCGGTATTTGAGATCGGAGCGGTGAACAGAAACCCAATCTGATATGGTTTTTGTGGCGACCGGCAAAAACTATCCGGTATTAGGTAGACATATCCGGTGACATCAAGAGGTACACAAATAGCACTAGATGTTCAGAATTTCATACTTTTT